CAAACAAACAAGTTATAGAACTAGGCAGATTGTAAAACGAATTTAAGAAATAAGATGATGGATGGATTAGTTAGAGGTCTATTCTTCACACATGACACACTTGTATATGAATTGATTTCCAATTGCTTTTCAATAAACTATGATGCTCAACACCCCAGATTAACCGTGATGCACAAATTAACTCTCAGATTTTCCTTTACTCATTGAATTGGATGAATGCATGCGACAACCCAAATTATTCTCTAAAAGTCCCCTATATGAATGCATAATAGAGATACAATCAGAGATCATTACGTTCAATGAAAATCATAAGTGTTGACGAGGCAATTATAACTATGAATGCATGATACAATTGTCAAGAATTCAATTAACGCGATTGTGATAAACACCCTTCACTACTCATGAATATAAACTTGTAATGATTAGGTAAAACTCATTTATATTCTAGCATCTAATTCATGCATGAAAACTAAGTATGCATCCTTAATAAACATACAAGAATCAGTTATGAATAAAATAGATAATTGAATTGCAATCACAACTTATCAAATCACAACTTATCAAATCACAATTGGAAGAAATCAATTCATATCTCAAGCATGTTCATGGCTTCAAACTTCCCCCTAACTAAATAGGGGTTTAGCCACTCATAATTGCAACAAAATTAGAAAATAACAAAGTAGTCATTGAAAGCAAGAACGAAGTACACCTAAAACGCTCCAAAGTTCCAAGCTTGAAACGCCAAGGACCTTTGTTTTCGTCACCTTGTTGTAGCACAAGTGTCTAGGATGTGTATGGATATATGGATGGAATGGATTTGCACGGCTAAGAGATGAAAGTGTATGGATTGGTGAGATGTAGTATGGCTAGATGAATGGATAGGGTCACGGCAAGGAAAGGGATGAAAGTGTTTGTGAATGTAGCTTCTTGGATGGATCAAGATCTTTCTTAGGAAGGGGAATGGTGGATGTATTTATAGACTAAGGAGAGGACCACTTCAATTCCTTGCATGTGCAGTTTGTATGGGTGTGTGATGTCCATGTTTCCCTTTAAATTTGCACACACATGACCTCCATCATTTCAGCCACAAAACAAACACATTTTCTGCCCATGCCAACTGTCCATGCCGTGCCTTTCTCTTTGCCCATGTGTGTGTCTTTCTTTTGCCCATGTGTGTGTGTTTTTCCTTTGCATTTGCACACACATGTTCTTCATTATTTCAGCCAACAATCCACCCATTTTCTGCCCATGCCAAGCCCTCCATGCCGTGCCTTTCTTGTTGTGTGTGTGCTGTCCATGTAGAGTGTGTGTATGCCCTCCAACCTGTGCAGTTTGCATGTGTGTAGCTGTCCATGTTTCTCTTTTGCATGTGTCGTGCCTTCTCTTTCTAGCTGTGCATTTTCACTTGCTCCAAAGCCAAATGAGTGCAATCATAACCCCATTTGCTGCTAAGTGTTGATGACAAAGCAAAACACAAAACAAGTGCCTTTACTTTCTCATTTTATTAGCCAAATCTGCTTAGCCCTTTTCTGAACCTTTCAGTGTTACAATGCCCATAACTTCTTCTAGAAAAATGATATTAACAATCCGTAAATTTCTCCAGAAAATAGACATCCGTAGCTTTCCAAGCATATAAGGCTCATTTTCTCATTCATTCTGAGCTGTTAGTAACATGCTTCCAAAGTCAACTAATCTGCACAGGCAGTTTTGACGAATTTGTTACTTAATATCTCACTTGTGCTACTTTTCTTTTCTTTGCTTGATAAATCACACAAAACAAAATAACATAGTAAATAGCTCAAAAATATAAGGAACTAACTAAGAAAAGACAAGTGAATTTTATGTAAAATATATATAAATATGAGCTTATCAATGGTTTAAAACAAGCCCCAAGGGCCTGAAATGAGAGGTCCACTAATTTCTTGCCTACTCTAGGATTTCTTACCATTTATTCTGATTCTTCCTTGTTTGTGAAGCATGTTGGGACTCCTGTGGTGATTCTCTTGTTGTATATAGTTAATATAATCATCACATGCAATGATACTACAGCTATTACAAATGTCATCTAGTCTTTAGCTCAGGAGTTTGATATTAAAGATTTGGGGCCCTTACACTATTTTCTAGGGATTCAAATCACTCACAGTGCCACTGGTTTATTTCTCTCACATTCCAAGTATGTTACGGATTTGCTAAGCAAGACTAATATGGCTCTGTCCAAATCGTGTCACACTCTCTGTCTACCTTATAATAGGTTACTTAAAGATGATGGCAAACCTTTTCATAATCCAACATTGTATAGAAGTGAGGTGGGTGCTTTGCAATATCTTACTTTTACAACACCTGAAATTGCTTTGTCAATTCATCAGGTATATCAATTTATGCATTATCCCATGGAATCTCATTTTATAGCTGTGAATAGATTTCTCAGATATTTGAAAGGTACAATGGACTATGGTATTCAATTCAGCAAAGGAGATTTAGATTTACATGCATTCAATGATGCTGACTGGGTTGGGGATCCGAAAAATAGAAGGTCTACAACAGGTTTGGTGGTCTACTTAGGCTCTAATCCTATCTCTTGGTCTTCCAAGAAACAAAACACAGTTTCTAAATCTTCAACTGAAGCTGAATATCGATATATATCCTTCACAGCTACAGAGATTGATTAGATCAAGCAACTTCTGCAATTTCTCAAAGTTGATGTGCCATGTCCCACTACTCTATTATGTGATAATCTCTCTGCCATAGCATTAGTTTACAATCCAGTTATGCATCAACGAACGAAGCACATTGAAGTTGATAAACATTTTGTCCGAAAGATGGTTGCCAAGAAGTTACTTCAAGTACATGTTGGTTCCTCAAATGAACAATTTGCTGATATCCTTACCAAGGGTTTGTCTACTCCTTTGTTTCAGACACACTTTTCCAATCTCGGGCTTAGCAAACCCCATCCTACGATTGAGGGGGGGATGATAACAATGTACCAAGCTTAACAGCTTCTAATCTTGTGGTTGTAATTGTGACAAGTGTAAGCATCTTGTAATTCTTGTAATAGCTTAGGGAGTAAGCAACCTTGTTAGGTATATACACCTTTGATAATTGTCATTGTAATCAGTTAATGAAAAACTTCCTCTCCCTCTCTTTCTTTCTCTCTCTCCTTCGAACACTCTTTCTTCTTATGCAAGAATACCCCACCATTGCTGCTACATTTACAAACCGTAGATGATCAGTCTCTCCAAGTTAGCAAATCCGACGACCTACGTACACACACACACAATAATCTATTTTAGTGCGGTAGATTAATCGGGGAATAAATGCATAAAGAAGGAGAAATGCATGAATAATAATACCTTTTCATCGAAAAGAAAAAGGTAATGTTAGGTAAATTAAAATTGTAAACTAAATAATATGTCACTAATAAGAAATAAGCACGTTAATTAACATTTAAGTAATAATTCGATCATCAACTTCCATGTCATTTAGTTTATAAAATTTAGTCTGCAAATTTAGTTTACCTAGCATACCCAAAATAAATAAATAAATTGTAAAGCAATCTTAAGATTCTTCTTCCACCCCCTCTCTTCAGTTTCTTTGTATTTTGGAATATTTTCACTCTTTTCAAAATCTGACGCCAGGTGGGAATTGGTCAATTATAAAAGTTTAGAGGGTGATTATCTAAAATTAAAGTTTCAGGGAAAATTTTGCCAATTATAAAAGTTTAGGGGTAATTTGCTAAATTTAGGTGCAAGAGGGAAATTTTAATACAACGATATATTTTATACTAAGGTAAGGGGAGAGTTTGGAAGCCAAACAATAGGCAACCTAATTTGGTATAAGTGCAAGAGGGAAATTGACCGCTACAAGTTCAGAAGGATGATCGACAAATACCTCTTATTTTAGGGGGGTGTATTCAATTAGGATTTTGAGGGATTTTAATTCTTTTAATGAATCTAGGGGTATTCAATCAGGATTGTAAGTGATTCTCTGAAATTCAAGGTGTATTCAATTAGAATTTTAAGATAATCTATTAAAATCCTTAGAAATTCGGGTGTATTCAATTAGAATTTTAAATAAGTTTATAATATTCCAAGTGCATTCAATTAGAAATTGATTTTAAAGAATTTGAGAAAATTGAGGAATTAGAGGGAATTGGAGAGATTTCATGATGTATTTTAAGCATCCACAAATCTCACCTCTCCCCATGAGATTTCGAAAGAATTGAATCAAAATTTTATATAGAATCTCTACAAATCAATTAAACTCCATAAACATCCATGAATTTATAAATTCATTAAGGGGGTGTATTCAATTGAGAATGTGAGAGATTTTAATGGATTTATAAATCCATGGATTTTTATGGAGTTTAATTGATTTGTAGAGATTCCAAATAAATTTTGATTCAATTCCCTTGAAATCTCATGGGAAGAGGTGAGATTTGTAGATGCTTAAAATACACTACAAAATCTCTCTAATTCCCTCTAATTCCTCAACTTTCTCAAATTCTTTAAAATCAATTTCTAATTGAATACACCTGGAATGTTATAAACTTCTTTAAAATTCTAATTGAATACACCCAGATTTCTAAGGATTTTAATAAATTATCTTAAAATTCTAATTGAATACACCTAAAATTTCAGAGAATTACTTGAAATCCTAATTGAATACCCCTAGATTCATTAAAAGAATTAAAATCCCTTAAAATCCCAATTGAATATACCCCCAAAAATCTTTCAAATTCTTAATTGGGAGTGAGTAGGAAGACGCTTCCTAACTTACGGTCCTATATTTAACAAAATTAGGGTTTTCTACGGACTAGAAAACAAAGGGGAAAAAAAACAAACAAACAAAATTAGAGCTTGGCAGCGTTCTTCTTCGAATTCATGAAGTTCCAGACTCTGTACGTAGGACCAATGAAGTTGGAAGCGCATCCACGCATTTGAGCCCGCACATGTTCCTACTTGCTTGTGCGATTAGGTACTTCGAAACAGCTTATTAATTTCAGAATCTTCGTTTTTGTGGTGGAACCGTTAGCATTTCCTTGTGGTGTCTTTCTTTGTGCAAGTTTGAGGTCTCTATGTGTGAACATGGATGGTACAATTGTTAAAACACCTTCCGTTTCTTTCTCTTCTAATATTGAATATTTAGAGTTGATCAATGTTGATATAGAAAATGGATCTCATGTTCCTGCAAATTCCTGCAAATTTCATTGGCATGTCATTGGCATGTCAAATGTCGACCATGGCATGCAAATTTCAAATGGATCTCATGTTCCTGCAAATTCCTCAAGGAATTAATTCTATCTGATGTTGGTCGAGTAGAAAATATCATAATTGAAAGCTCGTCTTTGGAAAAATTTGAAGTTTACGACCATTTTTATGACGGTATTTGTACACTTAGCCATCTTACCATCTCAGGCAAGAAACTTGAAACCATAGCTATATGGTGGAGCTTTGATTCGCATAGTGGCACGTCGTTAAATATGTTTGCTCCAAAACTCAAATATTTAGAATGGAGAGGGCATCTGACGAATCAGGCAAACTTGGGACAGCTAGAATGTTTAGAAAAAGCTCTTATTTGCCTGGAGCCTAAGGCAGATGACTCTGACAAACAGATTAAGCATTTTTGCGTTTTACACAGGGTTGAACATCTTGTTTTAAATGCAGCGACCTTCAAGGTAATGAGAACCACGATCCTTCGTACTGAATATTACTTTCCAGTGAAAAACTATATATTTTGTTTTTTCTCTCTTTACATTTCAGTTTAAACAGGATTGCAATGCTTTTACATTAAAAGCGGTCTCACTTGCTGTAACAAAATGAGAAACATGATATAGGTTTTGCTTTTTTCACATCGCAGGCTTTGTTCAGGGAAGGATCCACGCATGCTCAGTTTGATCATGTTTCTAATTTGCGATTGAATCTAAGGAGGTTTTCTGATGATATCTTTCCTGCAGTGGTCTCACTATTGAAAGGATTGCATAATTTGTGTACTTTGTACATAAGTTGTTGTGCTGTCCCAAGTTTTCTGCACCCTCAACGTGATGTAAGTTAAGTCTATGATTTCCTTTCTTAATATCGTAAACCTCCATCTACTCATGAAGAAAAATTCAGTCCCAACTTGGGCTAGTTCTAGTTAGTATTAAACTCCATGTTGTAATAAGGAATAATTTATTTCCATTTGTTTTAAGAAACTGTCTTCACATTGTAAAAATTGTCAAAACCAAGAAATGTGAAATGTCACAATATACATTTTAAGATGAAAATCAAATAATTCTCTAAACTAAAGTATGCAGTGTCCCAATGTTTGTTTAGGTCCCGTTTTAAGATAACCTTGTCTACACATGGTAAAAATTTTCGATAATGATTCATTCTTTAGAGTTTCTGTCATGTCTTTGAGCTTGCGAATGTGTATTAACTTGTCAACATGGACACCTTGTTGGTGAAGCCAAACTGTTACTAGCTTCTCAAGCATGTTTAACCACACATCTATCAAGTAATAAGCTCCTTATATTGATAAAATTGGGTTGGTCCCAATATTACTATAGAGAGGTTTTAAGGTATTTCATTTGGCTTCTTATTTTTTGGAAAATTTCAAATTGGTTGCTTGTTGTCTTCTTGCTGTTCCAGGTATCTGGGTTTGGTAAGGCATACTGGAAGCTACAGAATCTGGATTTTGTTGATCAGATTAAGAAGGTTACCCTAGTGCTGGATGGGTCTAATAATGGGATTGACTTTGCACGGTATATACTCGAGCATGCCAAGAACCTGGAGCTAATGGACATACAATATTTATTGAATCCGTCTGACGATGCTATACAGAAGCTAAATGAAAGTAAGAAGATGTCCAAGGCCACAGTTATCTTTGAGGAAGACTTCGTGGAAGACTCCGATAAAAACTTGGAAAACTTCGATGAAGACTTCGAGGAAGACTAAAACTAAATCAACAAGGAAAGAAGTTTTGATGTTTTTCAGAAGTTGTTTCATGCTATAGTATTGAAACCTTACGTTGATATGCGTTGTTAATTCTTATTGACTGATCAGAGTGGATTTCTACCGTTTTGGATTGTCATAAATCTTACTTTTGTTACCGCAGCATATGGCGAAAGTTACGAGTCTTACAACAACGTTGATGGGATGCAATAAGATTTCCAGTGCCCAAGTTATCATTCGGGAAAAGCAACCAAGAGAAGAAAAACATGGGTTTTAATTGTATGTAGACATCACAGCCTCAGTTCTCGGAATTTCTCCGTCAACGTTAATTAGCTCTGCTGTATATTTGTGTTCGCCTTTGTGCTCTGTTTTAGCTAGGCCTGCATTTTGGACCCAACCCGTTAACCTAATTCGACCCAACCCGTTAATATTTGTATTTGGATGAATGCTTAACGGGTCAGGTCGGATCGCTAACGGATGAACCCGTTAACAACCCATTAAATAACGGGTCACTTTGGGCCAACCCCGTTAGCATCCGTTAGTTGAGGATATTTTAGTAATTTTAGTAAAGTCTTAATAACAAAAAATAAACTTTATGCAAAAAAATAATAATAATAATTGTTAACGGATGAAACAAATAACCCGTTAGCTTAACGGGTCGGGTTCGGATGATCCATTAACTTAACGGATCAGGTTCAACCCGATCCAAACTTAATAAACCCGACCCGTTTACAGGTCTAGTTAGCAAAGTATCGGGTGGACGAACGATCGTCCGTATCGACTCGATGGAATGCAAGAATTCGTTATCACACAAATTTAGGATGGGAATTGCATTATTTGCATAGATACGAGTAAAATGTTTTTTAGGGTATACAACTAACAAGGACATCCATCCACACACTCATTCGTAATATAATTAGATTGATATTTTTGGAGAAAATTGTTTATATTACGAACGAGTAACATGTTTATTTGCATAGTTAATTTGAATTGCATAGCCAGAGTGCCTTTGCTTTCCATTTTTCTGAATTATTGTTGAAAAGAGTGACCTGGAATCCTGCATGTAACGCAAAATCAGAGTAATCTCGCTTGGACATGATCCATGTGTATGCCACTGCTTGTTGCCATGGTTATCAGGTCACGAGCCCTATGACACATGCTGACCAGCCAAGAGACTTGAGCGAGTTACCTCTTCAAGTTTTCCGTCACCTAAAAGGAACACTCGTTTAGCCATCAGTATCGTTTCTAACCGATGGGCAATCACCAGGACCTGTTAATAAGCACAATATCTGATCCGTTAAGGTTCAACATATCTGCAAGTAAAAGCACGGAATGTATGCATGCACAGAAACATTATGTGAGATGCAACATGCGGTGCAGTAAGTGTATTTCACTACCATTGCTCAACAAGAAATTTTTTCGTTGTTTCTTTGTTAAAAACAGATGGTAATGGGGTATCGCTGCAGTTGCACACACAAAGACATAACTAGATAAAAGATTGTGCTGCTGTTAAATCAGTTGAAAAATAATAAGATGTGGGAGGAACATAGGGCATGCTAGGCCGATAGGATGTGCTGATACTTACCGTATGATTTTCCATCAAGCGTTGGACAGCTTCTCGGACCAACAACTCAGACCTGCTATCTAAAGCAGAAGTGGCTTCATCCAAAATCAATATAGAAGAATTCTGGTAGAGTGCCCTTGCAATAGCTAGTCTGCATTCGAGGAGAGAAAACAGAGAAGTTTATTAACAAACTTTTGGAGTATTTAACACGTAAATCACCATATTCAACGTGAGCCTTTTTTTCCACTGAACCTAGCAATCATACTAAACATCAACAATTGGATCGTGGTTGCTTCACCTTTGCTTCTGACCTCCACTCAAACTTGAGCCTCTCGGTCCTATGTTGGTTTTGTACCCTTCAGGGAGGTTTCTAATAAATTCATCTGCATTTGCAGTTCTCGCTGCATCCTCAACCATTTTCATGTCAATATTTGTCATGAGATCCCTATACCCAATATTTTCAGCGACTGTTCCTGAAAATAGCGTCTAACAAAGACAAAGTTCACTGTATTATTATTTGAAATAATAATACAAACAGCGTGAGATAATTGAAAAACTTTACTCAAATCATTATAAGCATAGAAGTAGACGGAAGATTTTGCGTTTTAGCCCTTGTAACAAAATTTTATTGTTTCTTGTGTGGAAAAAAAGAAAGAGGGACACCAAAAGATATAGATATAGGTCACTCACGATATCCTGAGAAACAAGGCCAACATGTCTCCTCAAACTTGTCAACTTGACGTCTTGGATGCTGTGGTTATCAATAAGTATACAACCTGTAAAACAAGAAAAATCCATATGGTGCCTCCAGATTTAATATGCAGATTCATAAATGAACAAGAAAATGCTCATGGCAGCAGAATCGATAATCATAATTCCAAAGAGCTCACCGGATAAAGGATCATAAAGTCGAAGAAGTAGTTTTGCAAGGGTTGTCTTTCCTCCTCCAGAGGGCCCGATAAAAGCAACTGTCTCTCCAGCTTTAATATGCAGATTCAATCCATTCAAAACATAAGGCATATTGTCCCCGTATTTAAATGATACATCACAAAATTTGACCTCTCCTGTAACGCGGTCTAAATCAACAGCATCTGGTTTCTCCTTTATCTGTGTTCAGGAAAGGAATAAATAATAGATATCAAAGCAGCATGAATAACAACTACACTGAACGATCACAATGTTGAGTTAAAAGTAGAGTGAAGCATCTAGTCAAAGGCACAAAATAATGATTTTTATATATTTACTGAAAGAGCATTTGAATTGCACGGCGTAGAACTAATCTCAACGAATTATGTGTGTTTATGTATCTGAAACAGATAATTACACCAAAGATTCACCACTTAAGACTTTTATCTAGGAAAAAAATTACCATTGATTTGAACCTGGTCAATTCAAACAAGCGTTCAATAGCTGGTTCTCCTTGCTTCAACTCGTTGTATGCTTTTCCAACACCCTGCGCGATTCTTTACATTCAGATTGATAACTTAAGACAGCTCCTCAACAGCTGAACATTAATAATAAATACAGACTGATTAGGAAATCAGCTTCAGACAACTGCAGCAAATTATTTACATCTCATAAGTGGACCAAAGCAGACTAAGTTAATGGTGTCAATTGAATTTCAAGAAACGTGCAATGAAGGACATAAAATAATCCTCCGAAATCCTATAAAAAATAATAATGCTCTAAAATATTAAGGAACCTAAAAAGACAATTTCCACGTATCACTAACCAAGTTTAAAAAAGCTATGGAATACGATTAAAACCCGCAAACAGAGTTAAGAAGGCTATATCACGTAATATTACCTGAATTGGCTCAACTAGAAAAACCAATGCCGTTACAAATGAAACCATGTCACAGCTGTCAAAAGTGCCGCGAGAAAACACCAGTGAACCAGCACACAACACAAACAACACTCCAAAATATATAATCTGTGTTATCTGAGGAATAAGCGCCTTCAATTTCTTCTTTTCCAAATGTGCAGAGAGGTCAGCATGGGCAAACTTCCTAAACCTAGCATTCTCACACAACTCTGCATTGTTTGCTTTCACAAAAAGAATTGCAGGGAGGACCTGCAATGCGATAATATAAGAACTAATCACGATCAGCCAGCCAATGACGAAGAAACTCCAACAAAGACGCGCACGTAGAAACCATAATGTTAATGCAAGAAAGAGGTTGAGCATTCATGGAAGTATATGCTATAAAGCAGGGTTATAATATAAGATATAGTGTATACCTCATTGAGATATGCTGAGAGAGCAGCAATGGTAAGTTGGGCCTTGTTAGATATCTTTCGGAGCTTCACACCGAGCCGGACAATGACAAGAGCCATACATGGAATCACCTACCCATACTCCAAAACACAAAAGAGAATCAAACCACACTCAACCAAGAGCATAATGACTCTACGTGAACTAAACAAAATTACCAACTTAATTACCAGAGCTGAAATCAAAGACAGCAAAGGGCTGATGGACAACATCTGCGCAGCCATAGCTAACAACTGCAGAGCACTGGGTACAATGGTCTGCCATTCACAAAACCAATCAGAACCCACATAACCAACAAACATTTGGTAGGTGCTTCTCCAAAAAGCGCTTCTACGACCAAAAACACTTTTCAACTTTTCTGCTAGGCGCAGTTAGATTGTAAGAGCTTTTAGCCCCCTTCAAAAGCAGTTCCAAACAGGTCGTAATAGTCGTTTTGTGAATAAAATCAATCAAAGTTGAACACTTTTACTCACATTGAGAAGAGCATAGACAGTGTCAGCAACATCCGCCGCCTCAGCAGTGATCCTATAAGCAACGTCTCCACTCGAAACACCGCCAGAGCCTTCAAAAAACCCCAAGTCACTCCCCAGAAACTTCTCAAATACTTCAGCCCGAACCCGGTACACTGCGCTGAGCGCTGCGTCCCAAAGAAACGCCTGCTGCCAGTACACGGCAACAAGCCTGGCGAACACCAAGACTCCCACGGCCAAGCCCTCTTTTCTAAACGCGGCGGGGTCCAAATTCCCGATAAAGGCGGAGAATTTGCCCATTTTGGTGACGGTTTTCGAAAGGGAGTATACGGAGACGAGGCTGCAGAGCCAGCCGAGGAGGATTGGGCGGCGGTGGGAGAGAATGTATGGTTTGAGGGAGGTGATGGAGTGGAGGGTTTGAGAGAAAGGGTGGCGGTTTGTGGGGTTTGGTAGGGTGGTGGGGAGGAGGGAGGGAACATTTGTGGAATTATGGGATTTGAGGAGAGGGAGTTTGGGTTTGGGGAGAAAGGAAAGTAAGTGTTGGGGTTTGAGGTGGAGGTGGAGGAAGAGGGGCGGAGGTGGAGGAGGTCTCAGAGAAATTAGAAACATTTTTGGGCATTTTTTGAGGAAGAAGGTGGTTCGTTTGCCTTCAGTTTCAGCTCCAAACTTGACACTCGCTTTCGGGACACGGAAATAGCCGTGCTCTTTTGCTCACAACCGTGTTATTGCTTATTGCCGTATAAGTTTAAATCTTAAAATCTGTGTTAATTAAGTACATATATCGAAATTTAAATTTATTTAATGAAAATAAAATAGTGGTAAAATTTAAAAATAAATAGAGCAATGAACATTACCAT